TACATTTAGCTTTTAGCTATAGTTATGTTACTTTTAACTTTTAGTTAAAATATGCTATATTTAACTTTCAGCTATGATTTTGCTACATTTAGCTATAGTTATGCTACTTTTAACTTTTAGTTATGTTTAGCTACATTTAGCTTTCAGCTATGGTTTTGTTATATTTATTCTGCTTTTAGCTTTTAGTTACATTTTGCTACATTTATCTTTCAGATATGGTTTTGGTACGTTTAGCTATAGTTATGCTACTTTTAACTTTTAGTTACGTTTTGCTACATTTAGCTTTCAGCTATTGTTTTGCTAGGTTTAGCTATAGTTATGCTACGTTTAGCTTTTAGTTACGTTTTGCTACATTTAGCTTTTAGCTATAGTTATGCTACTTTTAGCTTTTAGTTACATTTAGCTTTCAACTATGGTTTGCTCAATTTAGCTTTCAGCTATGGTTTTGCAACTTTTAGCTGTCAGGTATGGTTTTGCTACATTTATCTTTTATTTGATACTTTTAGCTATAGTTATGCTACTTTTAACTTTGTTATACTTTTCTTCATTTACCTTTCAGCTATGTGTTTGCATTTTTTTAGCTTTTAGCTATAGTTAGGCTAATTTTAAGTTTTTGTTAGGTTTTGGTAAATTTAGCTTTTAGCTATGGTTCTGCTACTGTTGTTTTTTAGATTATTTTGCTAAGTTCAGTTCTGCTTTTTTCAACTTTAACATTTAAGTTTTAGCTTCAACTAATTTCCTTTTAGTGCTCGTGCTGAGTTTTTCAGACAGAAGCTCGTTTTTCTGAGAACATGTTTTGTATGAACTGATTCGTTCGTCCGATCCGACGGGTCAGAAGAACTCTAACCTTATTCTGGTTGTTGGCGTTGCTGTGGCAGAGGTTTCCTATCAGTCTGATGAGATGAGCCTTAAAGCTGACCACAGGGGAATGTGAGGAAGGGTCTGCGTCGTGAGTGAAGGAGAAGTTCTGAGTGGCGCTGAAAATGTTCTTACTGGCTTTCCCTACTGCGTGCACCTGCGACAGGAGCTCTGCAAAAGAAAAGAGAAGAAGAAGAAATGTTTTGTTTCCTCTTCACCGCCACGGTAGGCAGCTTTTCTGTTGGATTCTTACCAACTGTGCAAACTAGAAGGTCAGGATGGTCCTGCAGGAACATAAACTGCTTGTGGTCTGAGGTCATCTCACACAGCACGTCCAGCAGACTGATCACCGTCAGCGCCCCCTGCAGGACCTGCAGGGGATTGCAGCCAGCAGAAATCTGGTCTCAGAGTTGGGGGGGGGGGGGGGGGGTTGGGAGAGAAAAGGGGTTTTTTTTTTCTAAGGCAGACCTCGTCACTGGAAGCGGAACCCGTAGCCAGTGTTAGAACAGATCCACATCCCATCTGGAAGGAACTGGCCAGGAAACGAGCCACACCGGGGGGGACGCCACATCCCTCTGAGCCCTCCTCTCGTAGCTGAGCGTTAAGCAGCTCCAGCAGAGTTACTCTGGATTAAAACACATCATCGTTATGTTCTGAGCCATTTAATCTCCGGGAACCTCAGGGTTAATAAAGTACCTTTCATGATGGGACATCCCAGAATACATGCTCTCCACAAGAGATGAAGACTTGAGGAAATGCTGGGTGGCAATGAGAACCCTACAAACAAACATCAAATTATCTTTTTTAGGTAACAAGCAACACCTCTGGGTACAGTTTTAAAAAAAAGGTAGTGATGTTGAGGTGATACATAAATATATTATTATTCTTTAAATCATCCAGACTTTGCATTTAACACATTAAGGCCAAAACCAAATTTATAAAACATTCTTTGGTTTTCTACCATTTGTACAAGTATTGATAATAAATTGACATCACTGCATCAATCTTCAGATGGAAAAGCCTCTACAATAAAGTCTAAAAGCGTTGAAGGAAAACATAACAAAAACAAGACAAATTATGAAACCTGTTTGTGTACTTTGTGTGTAGTATTGCCACAAAATGTTTGTAAACACCCTTACGTCCAGTCCAGGTCCGGCTGGGTCCTGCACAGCTCCATCACTTTGAGCGGCAGCTTGATGTTTTGTGGGTTCGATAGATCTTCCACTTTGGTTTCATCCAGACACGAGTGAAGAACCATAGAGGTGTAGTTTAGCACTTTGTCATCATCGAAACTGAGCAGCTGCCTGTTCACACACACACACACACACACACACACACACACACACACAGTTTGATGTGTCGTGAATACTTCACTAATAAAACCACAGTATGAAGATGCAGAGTAAATACTGAGTGCTGAATGAAAGAAGAAATTCAGTTTAGTTATTTTGCTGAAGAAGCTAAAATTGAGTTGTCAATGCTAACAATAGCAAAACACTAGCTAAAAGATAAAGTGGTAAAACGCGAGCTAAAATAATAAGAGTTAAACAACACTGACTAATGATAAAACACTAGCTAAAAACTAAATGTAGCTAAACTGTTGCTTGATGCAAAACATATTAAAGTTAGCTAAATACAGAAAAAGGCAAACTAAAGGCTGGGCATGCTAAAATTATAAAAAAAAATACAAGCTAGAAGCTAAAAGAAACCAAAGGGTAAACAAAAGTGAGAAGTAAAAAAAAAATGACTGGCTAAAAAAACTAAACCAAAAGACTTAACTAAACCTTAAAGTATCAGAAGACTAACTAATGAAGCCAAACGCTAGCTAAGTGTAGCTCAACACTAGCAAAACGCTACATAAAAGTAGCTTGACACTAGCTAAAAGCTAAATGTAGCAAAATAGTAGTTTAACACTAAAATGCAAATGATAGCTAAAAGTACAAAACCACTAAATAAAAGCGAAAAGTATCGAAAGCCAAATGCAGCAAAGCAATAGCTAAAAGTGGCTAAATGCTAGCTACAAGAAACAAAACACTAGCGTAAAAGCCAAAAGTAGCAAAGCACTATATTAACACTAGTTAAAAGCTAAATGTAGCTTCTTTATTTTTTTTTTTTTTTTGCTAACTAAAAGCCAAAGTTTCAAAAGACTAGCTAAAAGTATCAATTGACTAACAAAAATGCCAAATCATATCTGAGAACCAAACTTACATGTAATTTCCAATAAGTTTTACTGTCTAGAATTACTAGAAGATAACATTATCAAGAGCCTAGCTAAAAGCTAAAAGTAACAAGAAGTTAAATAAAAGCTAAAATACCAAATCAGTAGCTAAAAGCATCTAAATTCTATTACAACCTTGCAAAAAGTTTACTAAAGCCTATTAAAAACTCTGTGTGCGACATTGTTTAATTTAGAGGTTCAGTCTCGTGAGGATTATTTGATCCGGTCTAATTTTACTGCATCTGAAACACAAAACTTACAGGAAAAGATCAGGGAAGCTCAGACGCCAAATTTCATCTTTACCCATCGGGTTTCCAACAGCCAAGTTTCCAAGAAACTGGATCCCACAACGAAGAGCTGAGCCACAGGAGCGCAGACGGACAGATGGAATACAAATCAATATTTACTGAAGTCTTGTAAAAATGTTTCATTTTATCAGTGGCTTGAATTCTAACTTACGCTCATATATGACGTCTTCGCTTCCCAAATTCATGGTCTGAAGGTAACTCAAGAGTTTGAGGGAAACATCAACAAAACCAAGTTGCCTAGATAACAAAAAAAAAAGGAGGCAAGTTAGCTGATTTTTTTTAAACATTGTAAATACAGAATTTTCTCTACAACATAGTGGTGGAAGTACCTGAGCAGCCTTTGGTTGCGTGGACTCTGCACACAAGAGTTTCTCTGGGATCTGAAGCACTCAGCAGTCATCTGGAGCTGCAGGGAAAAAGTCTGCAGGTCCTCACTTCTTCTGTCCTGCAGGTCTTCAAGCAACCTGCTGAGGACCTTCAGAACATTGGAGAACGCCTCTTCCTCCACTGCATCCCTGAGAACCCATCCAAAAACACATTAAATAGTCAGCAAAGAAAACTTGGGACAATGGAGTGACGTTAAGGTCGAAAAGCACAAATATTTTAACTAAACACAAAGACGTGGCTAATATCAGTCAGTGTTAATCGTGGCTTTGAATACAACACTTCGTGTTTTTAAATACTTAAATAGATTTGTAAAACTTGGAAACAAAGTGTCCACTCTTTAGGAAACTGAGAAGGACCCCTTATCTGTCTTGACAGCAGGATGTCCAAGTAAAGCTAGCTTAGCTACTAAGCTAAGGCTAAATTTTGAACAAAACATAACATATAACTCGAACTGTACCTGTATTCCGCCTCCCGCAGCGCATTTGTAAACGTTTTCAACAGTTGCAAGTGTTCAGGGCAGAGTTTCTCATTTAAAATGCCAGCGAGAGACGCTGAGATGAGCAAACCGTTAGCGTCGGAAGCTGCCATGTTTCCCTGTGTCATGTTCCAGTAGGCGGAGCTTCTGTTGTTGTGCCGAAAAATGTTACTCCTGCCGTGAAACGCTATTTGTCCCAACATGCACGTTTGAAGACAGATTTGTTCACTAATAAGTTAAATCAAAAACTTAAAAGTATTTTTGGTAGTATACTTAGAGGAGTAATATTAACAGTGTACAATCCGTAGACATTTCTTTATTTCTCGTTTTAAATAGTAATTGATGAGTATAGTGGCATCCTGTGTTGCCGTAAAAACATACAAATAGTGTCAAAATACAGTCCTTTAGAGGTGTTGTCTCTGAAAGGGATAAAAATCAGGAGTTGATTTAGCACTTTGATTTTTTTTTTTACGAAATAAATGCCCTGAACTCCCATTTCCGTAACGCGGGTGCATTTTACGGAAGAGTTCCAATTTTCGGCACAACACCAGACCAGTCTCTGACACGCTATTGGTTCAATCCAGGATGAAGGCGGAGTCTAAGCACGTGCAGCTGTTTGTACACATCTTTATTTTATTTATTTTTTTTATTTGAGAGAAAAGCATAAACTTTTAAATATATAATTTATAAAATACATGTTTAATAACGTGTTTATTGCTGTAACTAATATATTGTTTTGCACTTTCTGCATATGACTGTCATTTTACCTTGGATCTTTTACTTTTAAAGAAATTTGTTGTAACATAAACAACAGACGTGCCTAAATACTACCAAAAAAAAATGTCCAAATTCATATTTATATTTATCATGTTTTAAGTAGAAGTGGGTAAAGATAATGGATGGATGTTTTAAGAAAATTAAATCACTAATTGAACTTTTTTAAATCACTATTGCATGGTTACATTAAGTTTAGATGATTTCATTAAATACAAATGTATTTCAAAACACAATCCAGTACATTTAGACAAAAAAAAACACAACTTTTAGTGGGATTGAGTTTGTCAAGTGTTTTAGTGAAATGTTTCATTAAATTAAGCTCCAAATGTATATATTATTTCAAATACTCAAGCCAGAGGTGGGACAGATGTAGCCGTGTTTCTATCAGCCAGGACGTGAAAATCAAAGAAACAAACATTCACATTTTACAAAACCCATTATTCATTTGTTGAGTGGAACAACTGGAAACACCCTCCAAAACTGGAAGTGGTAAAAACCACGACGAGGGGAATCTGAGCAGCTGAGTTACAGGAAAAACAGCCCATCCTCTTGGATTTCCAACACTCTGGAAACCTCAGTTATGCTAACTTTCAGATGATTGGTTTAGTCTGCCGGGCAGACGGGCGAGCTGGACTCAGAAAAAGACAAACACAATCAACACAAGACTTTTTTATTATTCACAGATGCTCGAACAAGTCCGTCAACACAAAAACACAAGCTGTTAAAAAACATTAAGTTAAAATGTATTTCAATGTGTCGACACAGAAACCAGACAATAAACTACAAAGGAATTAATCCCTGCAAATAATTAACGCATTATGTTATAATTTGAATTTATCCAGTTTATGACTCAATATTTACTTATTTAATGTAATAAATAAAATAAAAAAGGAACTTTTAAAGTTTGGTTCTCTGCAATATTTTAGAGAAAAATCGATTTTTCTACTAAACTGGTTAAAACAACCATAAGACAATTAAACACACATTACTAAGTGGTTTTCTTGAAATAAAACATATTAGGTGCATTTTTATCCAAATAAATACCTGCAACAACATTTTATTTACTGGTAGGGTTTATTTATATACTGTACTTGAAATTGTACTAACTTTAAGAATCTCGCTTGTTGCTAAATAGATATTTAAAAAAAAGTACATTATTCCGTACTTAAAATAATTCTCAAATAATTTACAATATAAAGCTGACAATACAAACATTATAAATACACATTTCTGAGCAGAACCTGAGGGATAATTTGTATTTCTACCTATGATGGATTCACAATAAATTATACATAATCAAAGTCTTGTTTTCTGGAAAATGACAAATATTTATTCCTATTTTGTGTTGAACCGTGAAACATTTCACAACAATTATAAATATTTTTAAACATTTAGTTCATATTAATTAGAAAAAGAATAAATTGTAGAGTTACTAATTTAAAAAATGTCGGAAATACTAACAACATTGCAGCTTAACTTCATTTTATATAGATTTTTATATTTGTTATAGTCAACACTAAAATGTTTTGCATTAGCCATTAATAAAGTTTTAAACTAAACATATTTTTTTTGTTTGTAAAAGAGCATTTTCCCCTCAAGGATTAAAAATGTATCATTTCTGTAAGCAGCATTAAGCCTAAATATGCATAAATACAGCCTCACAGAGGTTGTAGACTGTATATATTATTTTTTTGTGTTTTTATGCAACTTTACAAATAATATGCACAAATAAAAATTACTTTTTGTGTAATAGGAAACTGGACTGATGAACTGTAACTGAATTCAGTAAGAATTAACTGAGATTTAATTTTGCAACACAAACCTCCAAGTCCACTTAGAATATACCACGTATGTACCCTGGTAATAACCTGGTACTTACTGGGTATGTCCGCAGTAATAACCTGGTAGTTAAGTACCATACTAAGTAGTTGCAGAAGATGCATCAGGTACATACTTGGTATGGACCAGGTAAATAGAAGAGTAAATACCTTATCAAGATATGCACTGTATGTACCTGGTACTTATCTAGTAAGTACTGAAAACATACACTGGGTACGAGTATGTAGAGGTACATACCTTGTATTTACTTGTTAAATAGTTACGATTGAGAATATTGGGTTTGTACCTGGTATGTACTGAATAAATACAAGGGTACAAACTTGACCAGAGTGTGTAAAATAAATAGTACTTACCTAGTATGTACCAGCTATGTGCCAGGGTGTGTACAGGGTTCGTACCAGCTATCTATGCAGACAGGACTGTACCATTAATTTTACTGCGTTACTAACTGATATGTACTTGACACTTTCCAAATACATATCAAGTAATTACCCTGTTACTTTCAGGGTATATACCCAGTAGGTACCTAGAAAATACCTGTTACTTACAAGGTACGTAATTGGTACATGGTTCAGGCATCTGGTAAGGATGCCCCCATGGTGTCTCCCTAGGGAGGTGCTTCGGGCGTGTCCAACTGGGAGGAGACCCCGGGGAAGACCCAGGACACGCTGGAGAGACTATGTCTCTCTGTTGGCCTGGGAACGCCTTGGAGTCCTCCCAGAAGAGCTGGAAGAGGTGGCTGTGGAAAGAGATGTCTGGGCCTCCCTGCTCAAGCTGCTGCCCCCGCGACCAAACTTTGGAATAAGCGGAAGATAATGGATGGATGGATTTTACTTATAGTGCATGTACCTGGTAAGTAAAAGTACACAGCTGGCACTTATAGAGCAATTACAGGGATTGTAGTTGGCTTGTGCTACGTACATATCTGGTATACCCCAGGTATCTACAGGGTGTGTAACTGCTAACTACCTGGTAGTTACAAGGTATGTACCTAATACATACCTGATAGTTACCTGGTACATAATTGGTACCTTTTGGGTACATACATTGTAATTACCTGATACATAGGGTAAGGTACTTAGTTTGTACATATTTGGTATATACAGAGACTGGGCTGTTTTATGAAGGGACTTGTTACCCAGAATGTACCCTATATATAACAGCTGCATTATGTAATAGTACCTGTATGTATTAGTACAAGGATGCATTATGTAATAGTACCTGTATGT